ACTATAAAATTAAACACTTCGCAAGTCCCTTCACTAAAAAAAATCTAACATATTAAAAATAGATAAATGTACTTTTCATAAAAATATCTGCAGTTGAACTATGATGATATACTAGTTTTGTATAATAAGTTTTAAACAATTAAAAATTAGACTTAACTGCATTTAAACTACTGGAATGCTCTAATGCATGATAATAAGACGTTTCTGTAAATGCTACAGTTTATTCAAACAGGCTGCAATCAGCGGCTAGGAATAAAATGTGGTATCTGTTAAATTTTATGCCTTCATGTTTCCACTTCCTCTCTCTTATATAATATATCCCGTTGAATATCCGTTTTTCGTAAGGGTGGGTGAAAAAAATAAATTATCAATAATTTGGTAGTGAGTTAACGCTAGTAGCGAGTCAACGAAGCATGCTCAAAACTAAGAGACATATATTGACACAGTCAATAAAACTTAAAATAATTACATTTTCTCTTAATTTATTATTTTTATCATCTTAATTTATTATTGCAATTCCAGATGACTTTACGATATGAAATTATGCAAAACCTCTTTTAGCAGTTAATCCCATCAAATTAAAAATTAACTAAATTCAGTTCATGAATCTCGAGGTTAACTCATGATTGTCGAAATTAACTACAATCAAATCATTTTTTTTCCGGTAATTATCCCTTTCGGTGAGCCGTAAAAAAAACATAATTCCACAGAACGCATAGTAGGTATCTATGTGCTTTTATAAGTATATTTGGAAACTATTATAACAGCACATAACATCAGTAGTACCTATTACTGAAATTAATAAAGCATCATTAGAGTCAATCATAGTATGAATTTTTTTCACGGTTTTTCTAAACGAATAAGAATCTTTTTTTTTTCATTAATATTGCTTTTCAGCACATAGCTTTTTTTTTATTTCAATTACCGTTGATTTTGAATTATTTAATATTATATAAATACATTTTAAAAGCGTTAACTATAAGGAAAATTAACGCGTGGTTTCAGATAACTATCGAAACACTAAGTCGGTGGCCTAATTTCACTTACCATTCATTTTGATCATTAAACTTACCTGATATAACTCATAAAAAATTATTAAATATTATTAATCTTGGAAAAAAAACTTTTTTAATTAAAAAAATCCTTCACGAAAGCTAGTTAGTCCCGACGCTTGATAAAGGAGTTTCCTTTTTTCCGGGTTCCTTTAAAAATGAAAAGGTTACTGAGTTGAACATTGATAGTCGTAAACTCAAAATTGGGTTGGCTGTTTCATGCTGGATATAAAATAAAATAAAATAATCGAAGGCAAGAAGTACCTCTTTTACCCTATGTCCGAATTTCAGGATTCCGAAGTTATAAAAGAGATAACACACTCTCAAATTCTTCATTTTACAGATACATATAAAGACTCATTTTTAGTTGATGAATCATCTCATTTAATAGATAAAGTAGATTCCGAAAGCAACAGGGGTACGAGTGAAAGGAAATAATGCGCTTACGGGTTAATTTTGTTTCTGTAAGTGTCAATGTTTGTCCCCAATGCTCTAGAAACTCGATTCTAAAAACTCTTGATCGAAGAAACTACGTCAGCACATAGGGAGCCAGCTTGAAGTTGAAGGGTTAGTCTAGTTCAATTTTCAGGCTCCTCCCAAGAAAATCATATCGCGAAGAGCATTTTTTGCGAGAAAGACTCATCAGACAACAAGAATTTGTAAAGAGTATTTTTTTCCATGCGAAGATTTTGCATCTAGGGAAGATTAGAAAAATTCCTTGCGTACGAAATACCGGGCAATGGCCCTTAATCTTAAAAATCATCATTGAAGGATTACAGGGAAAAGGTATATATGTTATTAATGTGCATTTATTATCACGTTTACCAAAAGCCGTGGCTATTGTTAATAATAACAGGTTTGACTATTATAGTAACCCGGCAAAAATGTTCACACTTGCAGGAAATTCCTTACACTGATGTTTTTACTGTTAAAAGCATTACCTGGTATTCTCTGCTCTGTTGTAAGGATAAGGGTCCTTACCCGGTATTCCTTACACTGGTGTTTTTTAAGTTTAACAGCCAGTGCCCGGCTTAATATTTCCTATATCGATGTTTTTTGAAGTTAGGTGTATTTCCCAGCATCCCTAGCACTGCTGCTTTTTTAAGGAGGAGGGTCATTATCCGATTTACACAAGCCGGTATTCCCTGCACAGCTGTTTTTTTGTGGAAATTAATTTAAGTTCTAGAATCAAAAATGAATTATAGAATTGAAAACTAAACTAAACTCAGTGACGTGACAGCCCATAATGGGCCAAGGCCTACAGTGCCCATCTCAGTTTTCTTGACCTTGAGCTCTGGGGTGCAGGAGCAGATGTTCCGGATAGGGGGTCAGTCGAACGCAAAATGCCCAGTGATTACAAGCATGCTTGGCACTCATTTATCGACCCACTGAAGGGATGAAAGGCTGAGTCAACCCTGCCCTGCTGCGAGGATCGAACACAGGACCTGTGACACTCAGCCACCGGGCGTCATATAATTGAAATACTACACAAAAACTTCAAATCAAAACCCTGTTCTTATGTCATAGCATAAATATATATGGGTGTGTGTGTGTGTGTGATTTTTTTTATTTTTGTTCATATTTTTATTTATTTATTTTTTTAATTTTTTTTTCAATTAGAGCTTTTATTTGTTTTTGTGGGAAGCTGGGTGCCGGTTAAAGCTGATTATATGCACTTTCCCCTTTATTTTGGCAAGTTATAAACAAAGTTACGATAAAGAACATAATTAACATTAAAAATAAAACTGAAAAATAATAATTTATTTTAAAAATTTGTTATTTGATTTGTAATAACAATAAAAAATATTCAATTGTCTATTTACATTAATTCCAGTCTTTGACTCTCGAAGTACGAGCGATATTTTGCCAAATATGAAACGAGGCCTGTTTTTTCCAAATATGTAGTATTTTAAAGTCGCGTGCTCTTTTTCAGTTTAGACCAATCAGTGCTTCCCAATTGGTTAGTGACCGGAAACCACGTGTTTATTTTGTATATAATTGCGCTTTTAAAAGGTATTTCTAAAAAAAAAAGAAGAAAGAAACAGTTAAAATCAACTATAAATGAAAGAAAAAATATTTCTGTGCTTTAAAGCAAAATCAATGGAGAAAGGTTTCTTTTCAGGATGATAGTACTACAATTGGCGACACTGATGCTTCATTAAATTTGGCAGTTAGTGCGACTTAAATTTTTTTTAACTATTTAAATAAGTAATAAGTAATAAACCACCAAAATAGGAACAAATATACTTGTACTAGCTGAATACCCGTTATTCGTATTTGGTGGGGAAAAAAGTAAATAAACAATAAATCGATGTTGATCAACACTATAAAATCATGAATAAAACTGAAAGACGTGTACTGGCACAATTAATTAAGCTAAAACAATTCCAATTTCTTCTTATTATTGGTTTCCCTTCCCGGTGGCTTAACGTTATTGGATTAAGCAAAACATTCTTTAGGATTTTTAGGAAAATAATATATGTTATTAAAAGAGTAAAGAGAAAAATTAAATGTTACTTTTGGCCAAAAAACCTTCTTTTACAATTTACTACTAAAGTATTCACAGTGTAATTATGCAACGGCTCGTGGAAGTGTACACTTAAGGCATGTCTACACTGACCCACAAGAGCATATGTTTTCTTATACCCCAAATAATGATTGATAAAAACTGTATAGATTAAAATAGATATTAAAAAAATAGTATCATTTAAAATAAATTATAACCTTTAGTTGAAATTCTGAAAATAAAATATGTTATTAAAAGAGTAAAAAAAAAATTAAAAGTTACTTTTGCCCCTAAAAACCTTCTTTTACAAATTTCTACTAAAGTATTCGCAGTGTAATTATGCAACGACCCGTGATATATGTACACTAAGGTATGATATTTTTAAATCAAAATACACAACAAATTTCTTATGCATTTTGTGGGAATATGGACGCAAGATATTCTGTTTAAAATTCTTTTTTTCACCCATTTATCTTTATGTTCGAAATTTTTCCCCTATTTAACAAAAAGCAATATTTCTAACAAATTTTCTTATTTGATGTCAGTAAAACTAGCTCAGGGAAATTTTTGTAAATAAAACTAATAAATGGCTTGCTGTAGATTAGATGGATTTAAAATATTTATTTTAAGTAATCTTTATGAAATATTTGTTAGCTTTTATTTTCTGAAACTTTGTTATTTTTCATTTCAGTTTTCCGAAAAAAATTTTCTTCTTTGAAAAGAGCATAAATAGATTTGAATAATCATTATTAGACTAACTGTAAGAAAAAGTCTAACTGTAAGAGTCTAACTGTAAGAAAAAGTATAAACTGTATAACACTATAAAATAACAAGAATAATGCTTATAATACAGTTTCTCTGAATTGATGCTCTGAGATTCGCAAAAGATCACATTAATTTCTCTCCCAAACCAAATATATTTAAATAGCTGTTACTACGAACAAAATTAAATAACTAACATTGTAAAATAATTACAATTCGTTAATAAATACTTATATAAAGAATTTTCAGAAGGTAATGTAGTAGAATTCTGAAAATTTTGTTAGCTGAAATATAACTTATTGAAATAAAAAGGTAATCCTTTAACTGTGTCACGTGATTAATTCACAGGATTTATAGCATTGGTTGTGCAACATGTTAATGGAAAAATTAAACAAAGACATTTAATTTCATTAAAATAGTTGAGTCTATATGGGTCATTCTCACAAAAACAGTCATTTTCATGTCCCTAGTATATTTTATGTTTGTTTTACAGCTTACGAAGAAAAAAAAATTCAGGGAAAGTGTCCTTCAGAATGCAAGCTAACAAAAGAATAAATTCCCACATTCGTCATTCCCACATGTCATTTTTTAGAGTAAAATAAAATACAACTTCATCGAGAAAGTGGATAATTATATGTTGCTTTCTTGTATGAATATAATTGTATGCGATTGACTTCAGNGGCTTTCATGCATCCAATTATCATTGATTCCCTTTTCCTTCATTTCATCAATTAGGCTTTGTAGTGAGCCGTAGGAGCATCTATGTATTGCAAAATAGCAACAATAACCACCGCATACTTGAGATTCATTTCCTTGGAAACAATGATCATTCCAATTACACTCCCGAAAACTATCAGCGAATAATGCTACGTAGCCTCCATAAAATTCTGGCCATTTTCCGAAGGAATCAAAAAATTCTAATTCATTCTCATCCAAAACATACATCGCCACCCAATGCAGATGTTGAATCTCGTTATTCGGAAGTGGAGAAGTATTGACAACAAAAACCGAACCAGGTTTACGTAACTGAAGCTTTCTGTGAATAACTTTTGGGTTGAAAACCCCTTTGTAATAATCTGTTGTATTCACATAGCGTTTAATAATTGTATCAATTTCCCTTGTATCCATGCAGAAAAAACGTGTAAGTGACGTGTTCATTTTTGTAAGCATGTCTTATAGTTATTTCTCGGTGACGTCACTACAACGTAAATTACGTCAAACACTAAGACCGGCTGCACATTAAGGAAGCAGGATGGTGAAAAACATCCCGTTAAGACTCTTATCTCTCACAATAACAAAGAGCGTCTTTTTTATAATGGGATTAATCAGCTTTGAAAAGTAATTTTTGATAGTAGAATTTATACCTCTAATATTAATTAAGAATAGTTTTGTGCACTTGAAATTGCTCTACTGAGCATTTTTTAAAGTTTTTATTCAGTATACTACGAATTTATTTTTATTTGCTAAATAATGTTTATTTTTTTAAATTATTTCGAAAAATGTTCTTGTATAACCTTATTGTAAGTAAGAAACAATGAAATATGAAAAAAATGGATAAATATGACAACCAAAGCTGACGTCTTCAGGGGGTACCAGCTCCGGAAGTCATAAAAGAAGAACCTTTTCCATCGAGAGTGCAAAACAAAAGTCTAAAATTGTTCTCTCTCTCTGTACCCTAAAGGTTTTGCCAAAGTCCAGGAAAAGAATATAATGCAAAATATAAAATACATAAAACAAATACAGAGGAATAAAAACAAGACAAATACCCAAGAATGTACAAAAGCTTACATGAAACAAAAATCCGATAACTAGATAACACAACTGACTGTGAGACACTATTAAATTGAAATAAACATGAAAACAACGCCCCCTAACCTGTAAAGTAGGAAGGAAAAAAAAGGATAGAAGAACCAGAAAATAGTGACATCATTAATAGTTAAACTTGACCGGGATCTTGCCTTATTAAAATAAAAAACTGACAATTTTCTATCATATTTTTAATTTTAAAATCAATATTACAAAAATTAAAAGGAAAACCACTGTAACGAACAACTAGTAATTTAGAAAATATTGATTTTTCCCTTTAATTTTTGTAATATTGATTTTAAAATTAAAAATATGATTGAGAATTATTAGTTTTTTCTTTTAATAAGGCAAGATCCCGGTCAAGTTATACTATTAATGATGTCATTATTTTCTGGCTGTCTTAATTTCTGTCCTTTTTTTTCTTCTTTCTACTGCCCAGGTTAGGGGGCGTTGTTTTTATGTATATTTCAATTTAGTAGTGTCTCGCAGTCAGTTGTGTTATCCATCACCAAACCTGGACGTAGCTATCGGATTTTTGTTTCAAGTAAGCTTTTGTATCTTGTGTATTTTTCTTGTTTTTGTTCTTTTGTACTTGTTTTATGTATTTCATATTTTGTATTATATTCTTTTCCTGGACTTAGGCAAAACCTTAGGGGTGCAGAGTGAGCAATTTCACACTTTTGTCGTGCTCTCTTGATAGAAAAGGTTTTGCATTTATGACTTCCGGAGCTGGTACCCCCTGAAGACGTCAGCTTTGGTTACGATGTTTATCCATTTTTTTCATATTTCATTGTTTCTTATGTTTCAATTACTTTCGGATTCACTGTTGCTTTGCGCGTTTTTCCACTGGAAGTAATATTTTAAATGCATTTAAAATTTTGAAATCATTTCTTAACTTATTAACTTAAGTAACTTCTAGAACAATATTCTCTAGAATATAATCCAGGAGAAAATTACCACGAATTTTACATCTAATGAAATTATTTAATGTAGAGAAAAATATTTCCACTCTCTTCCTTAATGAATCTCGTTCAAAATTTATATAAAACTATTATTAATTTATTATTTGATTAACACTGTAGTTGAAATTTTTCACACATAACCTCAACAAAAAAAATGGCTTTTATATTTCTATTTAGAAAAATTAACGTACATACAAAACTAGTGCAATTCCCTATTTTGATTTGTGCAAACAGGCATCTCTTTATCCTGTGAACAATGAACTCTTGATAAAAGAAATATTGAACTCTTGATAAAAGAAACATTTATTTTGAATGTTATCGATATTTTATGAACTTTTACAAAATATTTTATTCAGTAGCTTTATCAGTCTTATAAAAGTGCTTTGATTAATCAAATCATATTTGATTGTGTCAACGAAGAAAAAAACAATCACAAACAAACTTTTGTATCGATGTAATAAACAAAATGAAGAAAACTCCCTCATCTTTTATACCTAATCAAGGGCCTTTAACCCTTTCTATCTTAAAATATTAATGATGTCTGCAGTTATCAGATGAAACGATTTAATAGACCTAAACCTTACACAGACGTATTATGCAATACCATTTTAAACACTCAAATCAATTCAAGCAACAAAACAAAAAAATTACATCTTTATATCAGACTACGTAGGACTCAAGTTCTTTTAATTTTCATGAAACATGACTATATTACGTACGTTTAGTTATAAAATATGATCAATACACTTATTACTTTAATCGCGCTTGCTCCCTTTTTAAGAAAATCAACTTTACAAGTGAAATATATAACTTTACAATTGAGAAACTCATCTCGTAATATGAAAATCAGCATTCATATTCCTTGTTCCGACTTAAGGTCCTTTCTACTTCTTCAGAATTCGTGAATTACATTTTGTCCTGCTTTGCCACTATGGGTCACAGCGGTTTTTCTAATTTCTCTCTTTCAGATTTGTTTTTCTGCTTCACTCTCGGCTACAGCAATTTTTTCAGTTTTGTTTTTCACCTTTATTTTCAATTTTTCGTTGGCAATTTTACGTTCTATGTTTCAAATCTTTTTTGGTCACATCTGGCAAAATTGAGAATTTTTGAGTGCTTGAAATATAGCGAATTTTCTAACCATCTTCATAATTTTTGAAGAATATAAAGTTTTTAATCAAGTAGGGGAGAGTTGGATAAAACGGGATACCATTATTGTTTTTATTTACTACGGAATATCTGTTAAGGAAAACCATACAGTATTTTTTTTGTAGCTACAACATTTATTGAAGCACACAAAAAACATATTGTAAACTATATGTTTTTAACTAATTTTAATGACTGTGAAATAGAAAAAAAAATTTATTTCCAAACTCTTACATATCCCGTTTTAGCATACCTGGGTTGGATAAAACGGGATAGAGCTTACAATGTTTAATTTTTTGCATATATATAAAGATAAAATTATAAATAATGCGAATATATAAATAATATTGTTTATGTATAAAAAAAGCTCAAGTCTTCATCAGAGAAATACATTACAATTAGTTCTAAAAAAAGATGTGAAATCCTAGATGTGAAAATAAAATGCTTAATAATGAACGTTAATAAACAAATTTTGCATTACTATGTAAAGAGACTAAATTTTTCAAAAATATACATAGCTAATATAAATAAGTTGTTTAAAAAGCCTAGGCCTACATTAATATATGGCTATTTTAAAACGTAATAATCCAACAAATAAATAGGTGGATAAAACGGGACATAAAATACTCTATCCCGTTTTATCCAACTCACAAGTGTCCCGTTTTGTCCGACTCCGACACTTTTTGAAACAAACATGGCTGCTGCCTAAATGTGAAAAGAAAATTAGATAGACTGCACATAAAAATATTGATAAATAAATGGTTAATTAAATTTAATACTCACCGGAATTTTATTCCCATATATGTACACAGTACAATGTAAAAAACAACGCACGTAAATGTAGAAAATGGCAATAAAATAGAGTAAAAAAGTTCTGAGACCTACAACTTTCTATCAAATAATGATCTCGAGGCGGGACGCACCGAGAATGACATAATCACGGTCGAATAACACGTTTCTGTCGTTGTCCACTAGATAGCTGTAATAGTCTGGCGACATATCCCGTTTTGTCCGACTATCCCGTTTTATCCAACTCTCCCCTACATATTTCAGCTTCAGTTTATTCAGATTTATTTAAAAATATACGCATTTAATATGTTTTGGAAACTATTTAGTATAAAACTTCAAAATTTCGAATAGGAAAAGTGTCGTAATACGCAACATAATAAATTATTTCAGGTTAAACTTTGAAAAAAAAGAAAGAAAAAGAAAATTGTTCCTCGAGGAATATAAGTGTTTGAAACAAATATCATTTTTCATACCTTATGACAATTTAGTTTCGAAATATATGTTTCATTGATAGTACAGTAAAACTAATGTGCACTTTTGACATGATATTTTGAGACTATCTAAACGAGTGAGGTATTGTTTGTGTATTTTTTTCTTCTTAAAACGAGTTAAACTTAATTCAAGTTGTTAGAATAAATAGTTTAGAAGAAAAACGTAATTCATTAAAAAAAAAAAGAAAAATGCAATAAAAAATTTTTTAAATATAAAAAAAAACCAAAACAACTTCATAACTATTAACAGACATCTCCATAAAAATATAAAACGGTAGGGTAATTTTTCAAAAACAAGGGCACCTTCAGTTTTGAAGGGCACTAATGTTGCTAAATATATTATCTATATCTAGCTAGTTTAGCACTTTTCAAAACAGAATTAAAAGTACTCAAATAAATATGAGAAATAATGGCATTTTATATCGACTTAGCCCAAAAATAATTTCTACTATTTGTGATAATCAGAAGTTCGTGGTTTCTGCTACTGCTATCTCTTTTCTTAAAATAAAAATAAAAACATTCCTTTTCTGAATAAAAAAAAACAAACTACATTTTTACAAAAAAGCAAGGATAGTGCATTTACCTCGGTTAAAGGGAAGGCAGGGTGTGCCACCCTTCTAAAAATCGCTTGAGGAGAACACTGCTACTAATCCTCACATCTCATATGCGGTCACATTTGATTCAGCGTATGAAAACGTTGGAGATAATACCTCATGTGTCTAGATAACAATATTTAAGTTTAATTCATCATTTTTCCCTCCCGATAAAAATCGACTCTCGAGTCCGAGTAAATTCTTACAGATTTCTAAGTAGAGGATGCTTTGAGTTTGTCAAAGTGCCTAAAATAGCAAACATTTTCACAAATCAAAAGCTTAAAAAATATGATTACATGAAAGTTAAATTATGGATGGATTAAACTTCAAACTCTTACTTGGTGCGATTCACTTGGAACTGTATAAAACGTCGCT